CCCGCATCGGGCTCCCTGCTCGGCGGGGAGCCTGCTTCTCCCTCTCCCACTCCCCCGTCTTGTGCTCTCTCTCTCTCTCACTCTCTCTCTCAAATAAATAAATAAAATCTTTAAAAAAAAAAAATCAGAAGACTCTAGAGAAAAGAGACCACACTACTACCTCTGAATTACTCACATTATCTAGAATGATCAAGGACTCACTGTAGACACCCAATAAATGCTTATTGAATAAAAAAGGCAAAATACTTATTACATACCTTTAAATTATTAGGCATTATAGTAGTTAGTGAAAATATGCACAGAGAGAAACCATTCATTCATCAAATGCATGTATGATGTCTAGTGTATGCTTGGCACTTTGCCAGGGACTGGGATTCACATTTTAATGCAGAAGAGGTGTAGATACACAAATAAAAAATTTAAATTCTACAAATATTATAAAAGAAAAGATGTTTTACGCTAATCTTACCGTGGACACGAATGAACTTATTAGCAGAATACTTACACATCTATATTTATGTAAGTTAAAGAAATTGCCAGAAAAAAATAAAAGGTGAACTATAAAGAATTTTTTTTAAAGTTTGCATGCTATTAAGTCAGATAATGAGGGAAAAAAGAACAGATTAGTTATTTCCCTCTGCTCTCCCATTTATACATTTAAGATTATCAGTGCTCAAATAATCTATTTCTGACCTAGATCTTATTGTTACTTATGCCCAAGGGGAGAAAAAAAAATCCTCATTTGCATAAGGAACAGAATAGCTCTGAGATAGAATTACAAAGAATCAATTGCATGAACATGCCTCTCTTTTATTTAATCCTCTGTAAACTGCATAAAGAACTGAGACTATTGGTGAAACGACATATTTCTTTTATATTGTAAAGAAAATAAAATTCAAGACTATGCCTCTCATTCCATAAGGAAAGATTTGTACACTTTACCATGGTCCAGCAGCGTTTCATTTATTTGACTATTAAAATTTCATAAAAAGTATTTTCAATGAGTGACTTATAAATCCTTATACTCCCCAATGCTATTTAACTCTTATTTTTATTAAATGTACTTCTAGGTGCGGAAAGAAACATTCAAGTTGTCCTTAATTCTACTGTCTTTTTACTGAAATATACTTTTATTTGCTAAAGGGATGGAGATAAGATGATGTTGAAGATTATTTTTTCTATGAAATATGCAAGAAGTAGATAAAATGATGTGTGTGTTGGGTTTTATTTTTTCTAGGGAGACTACTGCAGCAAACTTGAACAAGTAAAGCAGAGCTATGGAGAGCCGGCTAGAAAAATCCATGGCAGCCATTGTCACACCACAACCTGCAGCAGCTGTCTCAAGACCCTCCCTCCCACGCCTGCTCTGCCCTCCAGCCCAGCAGGAATGAATGGGCTCCGCAGAGCACTGTAAATGGTGCTGCAGACCCTGAAAATCTGTTGCTGAAAACCGAACATAAAAATCATCTGCCAAAATAGAAATTTCCAACTTTGGTGGTCATAACAAACCTCTTTACCTCTGAAATTTCATTAGCAATGTCAGGTGGTAATCAGTCCAGAGTCTTATTCTGCATAGCCCGTCCTTGTTGGTAATAGAGCCTTTCTAAATAGCAAAAGAATGTTACTGCAATCCATCTCCTAGGGGTGAAAGCAAAGCCGTTTTGTCCCAAGAGGCAATTGAGCAACCACCAGTCTCCAGTTGAATAGCAACGGTGTGAGGCTGGCCACAATTCCCACAGTTAGAAGCCCAGTCTCTGAGATTTACTGAAATCACACAAGAACTACATAAAAAAGAAATGCAATTATTGAGCTGACATAGTTGTCTGTGGATGGAGACAAAATTACAAAATGGTCTTCTTTCTTACATTATACAGCTCTCCTTTTTAATTTGATGTCCTAGTTATTCTTCTCTTTCCAGAAAAAAAGAAAAAAAAGAACAATGCAAAATATAACTGCATGGCACAGGTAATAGTACCAGCTTCTGAACTCCTTGTATTTTCTCAGTTCTGTATCAGGAAAGACGATTCATTTTAAAGAATAATACACTACATAAAATGTATTACATGGACTTCTGGTAAAGGAATATTTCTAGTAGACTATTTAACTATGCTATGTTTCTTAGATCTTAATTATCACCATGTTAGAACTACTCGTGTGCTTCCATATTTAGTATGGTTTTCTTCCATCTTCCCTTTTTGTTCAGCTTTTTGGGGGAGCGGTGCAAAAGAAGGTCTGAAGATAAATTACTTGAACCTGAAAAACCATTTTGGATGGCTCTATTATTGAACATTTTTTAATATTAAAAAAAACCCATTTACCCGAGCCATTTTAAGCATCATTCCCATCTTCTCTCCTACTTTATCTTTAAAGCAATTGGAGATGTTGAAGCTTCCCTGAATGTGGCAGAATTTAGTGTACTTTGAGAGAGGGGCTGGGAGTAATTTTCCATTAAATATTTCATCTCAACACAAAATCTGCGATATAAGTGTTGGGGAAAACCTACATTGGTGATTTTAACTGTAGTATGAAGTTTAAGCAATATAAAAATCATCCAATTCAAGTTCCCTTTCTTCCCTTCTCCCTCCCCCGCCCCAACCCCACCCCATAATGGATGCTCGGCTGACTGTTTTTGCACAGTCTCTTTGTCTGAAGGATGCAAACAGTCTATGGATGCTAGGGAAAAGGGGGTGGGGGTGAGATTACCTCATCCCATGTTGCCTGCACCAATCACCACTCTCCTGTCGTGGCTTCTCCAGGCAGATCGAGGGGTCTGGACCAACAGGAAAAGGCCCCAGCCCATCCCCATGGTGACCGAGTTGTATATAGGGAGCCGCATCCGCCCATGTGCCGCAGGTTCTCTTACATCGACCGCCTAAGAGTCGCGCTGTAAGAAGCAACAACCTCTCCTCTTCCTCTCCGCCATCTGCTCGGCAGACGCAAAGCAGCAACCATGGTAAGAATCTTCTTTCTCTGGCTCTTTGTGGCCATTGGGTGGGGTCAGTTGCCCAAGATCTACTTGGAAAATCTTAAGCCCTTTTTCCTTTACAACTTCTTTGGGTAAGGGTAGCCTTTATGCTTTGTTTGCGGGGTTTAGCTTTGCTGCCCCACATCCTCGAGCCCGGCCGCCGCCGCAGTGCGGGGTGCAGGAGCCCAGCCAGAACTGCGCCCGGGGCGCAGCAGAACCGTGGGGAAGAACAAAGGCGGCGCAGAGCGAGTACTTGTTATCTGAGCCCTTCCGAGCCGCCAGCAGCCCATCTGTCGGTGACGAAAGAGTCTGGGGCAGGGAAAAGCAGTCGTGGCGTCGCCTGCTCGGCCCCAGCGTCTGTGCGCACGGTGTTCGTGGGACTCCGAGAGGCTTTTCTTCCTGGCGTTGTTCCCTGGAGGAGGGAGAGAAGTCGTCCAAAAGGACCCGGGCTCAGTGGGTGTAGCTGGGAAGGGGGGAGGAGGAAGGACAGGGACAAAGCGGAACCTTGGGTTAGTATAAAAAGATCTCTCTACGGTTCGCTGGCATTTTAGCAAGATACCCGTATATTAACGGGGGGGAAATGTTAGTTTCTGTTGGAGCCCCTGGCAGCCGCCGTCAGGGCGGCGCAGGGGCGGAGTTGTTTGTTTCTGGCTTCTCCGGCCTTAGAGCCACTGGGCGGGGTTCGCCCTCAGTAAACCTCCCCCTGTCAGAAGACTAATTAAAAGCCTTTCATCATTGTAGAACTGCAGGCGTTAAAAGGTTTTTCATTCACTGTTAAAACTTAAGATGAAATATTTTTTTCTTGAGATGCAAAATCACAGTTCTCTTGACAAGCCCTTTAAAGTCTGGTCTGGGACCACCCCGCCCTGACTGACTGGAGTGTGTGTGTCTTGTCTGTCCGTCTGTCTGTCTCTGCGTGCTAGATGCACGTTCAGCAAGAGAAAAAGCCCACTTTGAGAGCCAGGGTACCCTAACGCCCAGAAACCAGGGAAACGCCCTTCCCCACCCCCACCCCGCCCCCGCCCATATGTCAGTGACTAGACAATGGATAGACAATGGAAGTTGTAGCCATAAAGACCATAGAGAAGATAATCTCTTATTGAACGTGATAAGTATGAATATTCTGTGGTGAGTAGAGAACCTGAGAATGAAAATACTATTTTGTTGTTTTAAATAAATATTTCATTATCCTTTCACCGGGCTTTTATTCTTAGTTAGGTCCTCTGATATTTTTCTGATATAGGAACTGTTGTTTTAAAGATACTAATAATTTTTCAGTCTTTTGCAGTGGAGAAGATTCTGGAAAGACTTCTTTTTAAGTAATGAAAATGCTGCAGACAAAGCACTATACTCTCTGTCCAGCTGTCTTTTGTTCTAGTGCATCTACATTAATTCATTTCAATTTAGGCATATGGTTCCAGCCCGGGTCAGAGAAGGAAAACTGGCAGCATAGCACAATGAGATCATGTAGGCAGTTTCTGGAAATAGAACTTACTCTGTTAAATAATGTAGCAGACAGAACAGGCTAGTACCAGGCACAGCAAATGCAGCAATGCAGCAATGCAGGAGGCAGACCTTGTTTAGCTTCCAGTCCCCTAGCACTAATGGATTCTGCAGATAGACTGCAAAGGGGTGTGGCATCTAGCCTCAGCTGCAGCACAGATGTCCATGTTAAAATACCAAGTCATATATAGAAAAAATTCCTTATTTAAAGGGAAGGCAGTAGTAATATTGATTCCAATTAATTAATGATTAAATTTAATTTGCTTCATTTTACAAAATCTGTGCTTTAAATATTTTTTAAATACAAAAAAATTCTATTCAACATGACTGGAAACAATGGGCTTGCACATGGGTTAAATAGCGCAACATTATTATTCAGACCACACCCATCTGCAGCATTTGTAGCAGTGCTTTTCTTTAATCATTTCTATTGAGTTAGGGATAATCTCAAACTTGAAGAATACCTGTACATAATTAGAAATATTTTCAAAAATCTACTGAAAATTCAAAATGCTAACATAACCTAATTTTACAATTTTCTTCTCCTTCCCACAGCGTGAGTGCATCTCCATCCACGTGGGCCAGGCTGGTGTCCAGATCGGCAACGCCTGCTGGGAGCTCTATTGCCTGGAACACGGCATCCAGCCCGATGGCCAGATGCCAAGTGACAAGACCATCGGGGGAGGAGATGACTCCTTCAACACCTTCTTCAGTGAGACGGGCGCTGGCAAGCATGTGCCCAGGGCCGTGTTCGTAGACCTGGAACCCACGGTCATCGGTGAGTTGGCCTCAGTGACCCCCGTGAGCTCCCGGGGTGAGACAGTGGAGGGGGGTGTCTGGGACAGGAGGTCTGTCTTGAGGCTCCGCGGACACCCTGGGGTTGAGCGGGCTTGTGCAGGGGGTGAGTGAGGGGTGGCTGCTCTATTTGCCTTTTGCAGATGAAGTTCGCACCGGCACCTACCGGCAGCTCTTCCACCCTGAGCAGCTCATCACCGGCAAGGAGGACGCTGCCAACAACTACGCCCGAGGGCACTACACCATTGGCAAGGAGATCATTGACCTTGTCTTGGACCGCATTCGGAAGCTGGTAGGTTTATTCTCAAGAATAAAGTAAATAATGATCCTAAAGGAAGACATTGGAAATACGTTCTTTACATCTTAAACACAGAACTGAAATGTAATAGAGTGAGATAAACTATTCCTTTACAGTTTTTTTAAAAAATCCAATTAAAGCACTATTTGGTGTCATTTTATAGATATTAGTGAAGCTATTTTTAACTAAATGCTGAGTAAGATCTATATTCTTGGAATTGTATGAAAAGTGAAAATATATTGCAAAGAGCAGTAATAATATGTTTTCTCTATTCCTTTTTTCTAACAGGCTGACCAGTGCACAGGTCTTCAGGGCTTCTTGGTTTTCCACAGCTTTGGAGGGGGAACTGGTTCCGGGTTCACCTCCCTGCTGATGGAACGTCTCTCTGTCGATTATGGCAAGAAGTCCAAGCTGGAGTTCTCCATTTACCCAGCCCCCCAGGTTTCCACAGCTGTAGTTGAGCCCTACAACTCCATCCTCACTACCCACACCACCCTGGAGCACTCTGATTGTGCCTTCATGGTAGACAATGAGGCCATCTATGACATCTGTCGTAGAAACCTCGATATTGAACGCCCAACCTACACTAATCTAAATAGGTTGATAGGTCAAATTGTGTCCTCCATCACTGCTTCCCTCAGATTTGATGGAGCCCTGAATGTTGATCTGACAGAATTCCAGACCAACCTGGTGCCCTATCCCCGCATCCACTTCCCTCTGGCCACCTA